AGTGTCTTACACCTGCTCCTGTTCCTGGTGCTCTGCTGTTCCAAGGTAGATGTGAGCAGTAGGGATCATTTGGGGAGAAGCACTGTGCAAAGTTACTTGGCTGGAACCTCACATCTTGTTTTACCATGTGCAACAACAGATGGTAAAATGGAAATGCCAGAAAACCTGACAGTGGAGGAGCTGTGGTAGCAAACTGGGGAGGTTGGGGGGTCAGACTTTGCTCTTAGCTTGCTGTTGATTTTTTACATCGATGACCTTTCAAGGTGGTAAAAATAATCCCATCTTGTAACATGAAGTGTATTAAAAGCACAAACCGATTCTAAAGAAAAAATAAAAATTCCTTTAAAAATTCTTTAAAACTTATGACTGCAGCAGTGTCAGAGTGGATGGTTCTTACCCTAGAGAAATAAAGCAACTCTGAACATCCGTACTCAAAGGTCACTTCTGCAGTTTCTGGTAATTGAAAATGATTTATGCCTGTGTGCATTTTTTAATGAGTACAAGTACTGAGAAGTTTATTTCTGACATACAGGGGGAAAGTACAAATCCAGCAGGGCACTCGTGGGGTTCCCCTGTGGCAGGAGCTTTGGTCCAGGCACTGCATGGACTCCACAGCAGCTGGGACAGAGAGAAGGATGCTCCTTGCAGGCCTTGTTTATTGCACTTCTATCCAGCAGTGTGTGATCAGGGTTCAAACAAGCAAGACACTAAACAGAAAAAAATCTAGAAATAACTAACTAGACTGGTGCTTGGGCTTTAGATTTCATCTCCCAAAACCAGCTCCTGAGCTGAGTCAGGCTCAGGCTTCCAACCCGCTTGGTCCTCCAGGCTTTCTAATTCTCTTCGCACTTCCTGAATGACACTGCTGTCCTCGTAATCAGAGAGGAGATCTTGGGGCATCAGGCTGAGAAAGGGCATCTCCTCCATCAGCGAGGGCTCTTCTCTCTCAGCGTGCTGGGTTCCATTGGCAGGCGGCTGACACACGGAGGCAGTGCTGTGGCTGTGGGAAAAGGCACATTGGTCATCCAGGGCATGCTTTTGTGTCCTGCTGCCACTCTGAAATTCCCCATTCCCTCCCCACGTGAAAACGTGTCAAATGCACACTGCTTCCACCCTAGCTGGCTTCACAAGCACCTGGTGAGTTACAAATGTGCTTTCCACATACACAGATCCTAACAGCACAAAATGTCTGATCCTGGCAAATGAGAGAGCAGTGGCCCTCAAATAAACAGATAACAAAAAAATGCTACTTGAATCTTCAAGTTCAGAGAGAAAATTCTGGGCAGTTCAGCTGTATTCACACCCTAATTAATTTCTGTGTTTCTTACTCGATCTGACATTTGCTGACAGGCCTTCCCTGAGGTTAATGGTGCATTAACAGAAATTCTGGTGTTGAAAGGATGGGATCAGCTCTGCTTGCTTCCTTAGCTGACGTTTATGAAGCAAAATGTTACCCAGTTCCTTTTCAAGCATGAAACAATGTAGAAAGAGTTGGACACAGAAGAGAGAAATACTAATCTGCATCTCCATCCCAGCTATGACGCCTTGGTGGAAGTTAACGAGGTGCTGGTAGTGTAGAGCAAACTTGGAGGATTTATTTCATAGAAAACGTGGGTTTTCTAAAAGTGCTTTTAGCAAAACTGAAATGATCTCACTTTCTGCCAATGGAACTGCTGATGATGCAAAGAACTCGGTACCAGCTCGGTGCCAGCTCGGTGCCAGCTCGGTCCCAGCTCAGTCCCAGCTCAGTCCCAGCTCGGTCCCAGCTCAGTGCTCACCTCCGGGGCTGGCAGCTCAGTCCCAGCTCGGTACCAGCTCGGTCCCAGCTCAGTCCCAGCTCGGTCCCAGCTCAGTGCCAGCTCAGTCCCAGCTCAGTCCCAGCTCAGTCCCAGCTC